ATCCATCATTAGTGATAGAGAGCTGTGATTGGCTCATACCACTAATAATAGACTCATCTTTAGTGAATCGACTAACTCTCATTGGCTAAAATTTCACTAAAGAGCCCACCACCATAAAACAAGAACCTTAGAACTTATACAGGCAAGCTTGTGTTTTTAGTCGCAGTAGTCGTCCAAAAGCAAACTTCCGAGATATCTAGAGATGATGATGCTTGTTATTTGACAATATTAAAATGATGATGAACTTATTTTGCGTCCATTCCATTATGGAGGCTTCGTCCCTTCAAATCTCAGCACTAAATGTTCCAAGAACACCACCGCCTTAGGTTGATTTCGCTGTGAAATTCCAGGTAAGTCGACAACTATCATTACGAGGAGCTGCAAACGGTCACGGAGAGAACAACTGAAAACCTGCCGAAAACGTGGTCAAACTTTTCGCTTATCCAGTCTTGGCCGTTTCTAAACTGCTTCCTTCAATTTCACTTTTTTCACACTCCAAATGCTCACAAAATCAAAGCAGGGGCTTTATTTTGTCACGAGAGCTACTCCAAAGGAGAGCTACTCGAATGTTCATTCGACCGCTACCGTGCTTCGATTGCAGTAAGACAGGCCTTATGGGGTTTGCATGCAAGAGTACTACTGCGACACCAACTCTTGGAGTATTTGGCTGAGAGTTTTGGCGTGCAGTAGGTGAGTGCGTAAGTCGTTTTGAACCCAATACACAACACACATACTTCTTTGGCTGGGGGAACCCCGTAAGCGATATCCCAAAGAGAGAGAATTATTTTCTGGCTCTCCGGTCCTGCTTCAGCTCCACGTGGGAGCTGTCGTTTGATTTGACTGTGCATGATGTGAAGGGAATAAGGCACATACATACAAAAGTATGATGTGCAAACTTTCCTTGAACGACACTGATCGTTCTAAAGAGAGAGCAACCCCATGAAGATGGCGGTGCTTCTCAAATCCAGAACACATACTTCTTTGGCTGGGGGAACCCCGTAAGCGATATCCCAAAGAGAGAGCATAACTGGCATTGAGCTATCTCTCCGGTCCGCTTCAGCTCCACGTGGGAGCTGTCGTTTGTTTTGACTGTGTATGTGAAAAACGGCAAACATACTGGCCTTCAACAAGTATGTGCAAACCTTCCCTGAAAGATGCTGATCCTTAAACGAGTGCCACCGGTGATGGGGCCTCTGCTACAACGCGTATATGAAAGTATAGTTGGAGTGTGACTGTAGCATCTGGGAAGTTTGCGTCAATAGCCTGTACGCATAACGTTCTGTGAACGATGCGGAAAAGAGAGCAACCGCATATGACGGTGCCTCTGCTGCAACACGAATATGAAATTTTAGTTGCAGTGGGCAAGATCATATACACAACAATCAATCACACACCGGCCCACACAAACACCCCAGTGTCAACTATGATTTGGCGAACACTAGCTAGTTAATCATATCGTAACCAAATTGTCTGCAATGCCATCTAGTACCTGGTACGCTCTGCTACAGCGCTATGTTTTGGATCTTATTTTTCCCGTCTATACATCAACACTCCAATCGGAAGTTGATTCTCCATGCAGTAGCCATACCATCTCCACATGGCTCTTTTGACAGGACAAAGTTCCATATTAGCACCATTGCCCAGCAATGCTTCAATTAAGTCGAGTTCACCAACCCTGCCAGCTTCGTGTAACAGCGTTCGATCGTTGCAATTCTTGGCATTCAAATCTGCGCCATTCAGGGCCATCAATTTCACAATATGCCCACAACTTAATGGTGATGCAGTGCGATCATTGCTAACGTTCTATTCACCACCAGCCATAGTATATACCACCACCATGACGCAACAAAAGTTCGACAACGTTTGAGCGTATAGTCGCATGCAATGAATGTCGTACGATTGATTCGTATTGTCAATAGCATCAACATTCGCATCAGCGGTCAGCAATATAGTTCCACCATGGCCGCAAAACCCTGTGTCACTTGCTGCATGCAACGGTGTCCAATTCCATTGTTGCCAAACAAGTCCCAACATTAACCCCACGGTTGAAAGTAGTCAAATATTTGCGTTGGTGGTGGTGGTGGTGGTGGTGGTGGAAATGATTCGGGTTAGCTGCCAAGATTAAGATGGACTCTCATGTCTCTCAGTGGTTTGCTGTACTGTAATCTTCTCCAACCACCAGTTTCGATCATTCGCCGATCATCGGCCTTATCCAGAGCTTCACGCCAAGCTTTAATTTCCTGGACTTCACCGTCCAGACCGAAGCCTTCCTTTTGTTTCTCCAATTATCGAGTCATGAGTTCCAGTTTGCGTAATTCATCTCCAACCACCAGTCCAGCCAGCCACTCAATGGTTATTGGTCGATATGTATACTCCACACCGCGAAAGTACTTGCTCCTAACAAACGTCTGTGGTCTCGTATCGAAGCCGCATCGTATGACCTTCCTAAGACTTGCGAATGACGAGGTAGATTGATTCCATGAGCAACTGTTCATCAAGAACTGATTGATCGACTACTGTATTCATTCGTTAAGTCAACATGCATTTGACGGCTGAAGCGAGATGATGATGGAGCTGCCATAAAGGGGAGTCTTTTATCCATCGTAGAGTGTATTTATGAAGGGTTAGCGTAGTTGTTTCAGTTTTCACAGCCGCATGATATACCTGACGTATGACCTGCTGTATCAGATAGACGTGTACACGTACACGCGTGTACGCGTAGCAGTATACCGGTAATGATGATGACGGATAATTGAATATTTTGAGGTGTATTATATAACAATACCGGTACCGGTATTTATAACTCAATACAACGCAGGTGCCTGTACAATCAATAAGGGTACAATCAAGGGTACAATGGCACCAAAAACGGGGAGTGAAGAGCCCGCAATAAAACTAAAACAAAAACACTAGCAAAATGGAAGATGAAGATGCTGTCGGTGTGGATGAAGATGCGGTCGATGTGGATGAAGATATTCAGCCATTGTCGACTGCATTCGTCGCTGTTCTCTATGGCAAGGCTCTTATCAATTTAGTGGCTTCGTTTGTCTGCTTCTTCTTCATCGCCGCCATGCTATCCAAGCCAACCATTCGCAACAATTCCTACAATCTTTACGTGGTCTTCATGATTTTCCCAGACGGCATCAATACCTTATTCAGAGTGCTGACAAACGTATTCCTCGCTTTGAACCATGGAGTTCACTGGTATCCGCCGGGCTTTCACTATCTCGACTTGTTCTTCTGGATGTTCTATTACGTATGCAACTTCTACCTCAACGTCTTTGTGACTTTTGAGATCAACAAACTCGTGGAACATTGTCATCGCGGGAGACGGATACCAGTTCTGAAGCTTCAGAGAACTCGCAGGCAAATCGCCGGGGTCTATTTTTTCTCAGCATGCATTGCCTCTTTGATGGTGCTGCCTGTTCCATTTGCCCTCTATCATATTACAGATGATCGAAGAGGGAAAGGTAAAAGTGGTAGCGGGCCAAATGGATGGTTCAACTTCTTCATTGCGACCATTCTTTTTCTTCTCCTTATGGCAGGGCCTCTTATCTTTGTTCTCTTCGTAGCAGTACGAATGTGGATTAAGAAGCTGCTTCCGAAGAGGGGACGACTGCGGGTGCTGACTTTGTTCTTCTTGAGGGTCATCATTCTCTTTTCAGTCTTCTATATTCCAGTCATATTCTTAACATCCAAGCGAAACAACATGGAAGATGAATATTCAGATGGTGCCTTTGCCTTGGACACCGTTTTGGGAGTCTTGGCAGCTTGTCAGGCTCTCACAACCTTGTACATGATCTGGCTCAAGTATGACATCCGAGTTGCCGTCAAAGAAACCTGGAACAAAGCCTTTGGCCGTATATGTTGCCGTTGTACCTCTGTTGACCGGAGTGGTGAAGGCGAGGTACATATTAGTGGAATGTTCCAGGCAAAGAAAAATTCACGGAACGATGAACCACAACATCCTGTGGCTCCACTGCCCCAGAAAAAATCGTCGCTCATTCAGCAAATCAAAGATGCATGTTCTGTAGACGATGATTTTGGAATGCCATTCCAAGAGTCAGATGCAGAAGGAGGAGAGCAGAATGATGCGCAAGATGATTCGCCTAAACGTTCATGTTCCGAAGATGAGAATTGTAGTGTGCCTTTGCAAGAGGAGACCGATGCGCCGAGGAATGCGCCGTTCCTTTGGGAACAGATCCAAAGTGAATGGTCTGATGATGATCATGATCGTAGCGTCGCACAACGCGCAGAGGATACTTTATCAGAATCACCCACAAACCATCTTGAGCAACCAGAGATAAAGGAACTTGAAGAGAAGACCGAGACCAGCACGACCAATCGAATAAGGTCACCGGAAAGCTTGCATGGGGCCGTTGAATCTGAATATTCGGTATGAGTATGCTCCCAAAGCGGAAAATCAGCGACTTTTTCAAATCGTCTCGAAACGAATGGTTCTTAGTGAACAAAGGGGCGAAAGGGTTTTGACATTGTTTGATTACGGCGTCAAACTCAATGATATCTTGTACGAATAAGGTAACTGGTGTTCTGGCTTCCTAGGAAAGAGAGAAATATTGTGATGACTGGTTTTTATATTAGATGATGATAAACATGAAATTTTGTCTTAAAAAGTCTGAAATCAGCGGTGATGGGTGGTACGGGAGGGGTGTAGTGCAGTCCTGCTGTTCTAACATGGATTGTGATCTCCTTCTGTCCAGGTGGCTGGTTCTGGATGGCATCCCTGATGGTGTGGTCCAAAGTGACGGGGCGAATGCGTGCCATTTTTCTTTGGCTCGTTGAAGTTGGAGAGTGGTTGTAGTGTAGAATCGGGAAGAAGTCCTTGGGCGGATTCAACGCAGACGAAGGGCGACTTTATTTCGTCCATCTTCGGTGTGTCCCAAAACGATCCTTGAAGACATGCAATGGAAGTCTCTTCCAGGTGAAGCAGATGTTGATCGATTCCAAAGCATAGAAATCGTTATGCTTGGCCATGGTTACTTGGTATGATTCATACTTGCCTTCGGTTCGGTTCTTCTTTTATATGAATACAGTATTATTGCGGCTGCTTCTTATTTCACTCCGTTTGTATCATACGTCGTGTAGTCGCATCGTGGCGATCGAAAGTATACCTACCTCAGACCTTAGTTTTGACCTCTTCGACTACAACGAAAAAGCTAAGAACCAAGAGCACCATACGACCTTGTTGTGATTACAAATCGTGTTATTGCGACCTACAGTATCTTTTGGTTGTATCTATACTAGATTTCTATATACTCTGAATTGCTAAGTTTGATGTAGAACGATCAGATTCAAGGAAATTCCTCCAAGTCAATTGAACTGTTCGAAGGAGCTGAACAAAAAACAGGAGCCATACATCTCTTTTCCATTGCAGTACTCCGAAACACCGCGAAATTTTGATACCTATATAGGCATATTGACAACTTTGGTGAAGGTCCGCCCTTGTCTGGGTGTCGATACGGCGACTGGGAAAGGTTCTTGACAACTTCTGGAATGAATGCTGAACTGATCACCCACAGCAGGCCACTTTGGTTCGATCAATTCTCGGACGACAAATATGAGTTAGAATAAAAAAGTTTGAAGAAAGCAGGCCCACAGCTCGGCCAATACTGGTTTTGGAGCAAAACTTACCATTGTTCTCACCCCAATTAGGCCACATTATGCTAGGTCTAGGCCGAATCTATGACTAGGTCGCATACTGCTCGAAGCGTAAGGATCAAAAGAAGGAACTGGTATATTGCTGAGTGGTTATGCCCCGCCATGGCCGCCATGAGCGGCCATGGGGACTTTCTGAAAGATGGAAAATCGACAGAAACCAAGATGAAAATCCCAAAATCTCTACAACCAAAGCAAATGAAACAACCCAACAAGGCCCCACCATCGTGTAGATACTTCTGGAGTCTACCAACGCCCGGACCTTGCCATTCGTTGCATGTGGGACCCACCGTGGGCTCCAAAGCGCCAAACAACAGAAGCAGCTTGATCAACATTGGTTGGTTGTGGAATGATAAGGATATAGAATAAAGCCCCAATCGCAGCTCGGAACGAAATTCATATAACAATGAAGCTTGCTGTAGCATTTGGTTCCATATTCTCTTCTTCTGGGGTCCACAGATGCCGATTCATCGTTTCAGTCAGATTTGCCAGCTGACCGATTTGACTGGAAATCTTCTCAAAGGAACCCACAAAGCCACAAGCAGGTGATAAAAGATGATGCCATCGGGTGTAACATATAAATAGACGTGCCTTTCCCATCAATCATTTCAATCACTTCTTCTGTTGTTGGATCATTTGATGCATTGTTCGTCGGAAGACATTGCGGTGATGGATGACCATGTGGCCTAAATTCGTTCCAACGGAAGGAGAGATAAGGAAACTTTTGATTGCAAATGGCTGATAGGAGTCGCAGTGGGGATATTGACGGTTGTTGTTGCACCTAGCCTCTTGTGATTGTTGTTCCAAGGTGGTTGGTGATGGGTTTTCGGTGTCGTGATGGGTGTGAAAAAAGTAAGGTCTGGGACCTTATTCGGTAAGGTCTGGGCCTTATCTTGGGTCCACGTGTACCACTGCCGTGTCGCAGCACACACGACTAACAATACAACATTAAAAATACCGCGTGAAGGTCGTGGTAACAATCCTTTTGCTCTAAAGGTAATGTACCTGGTACGCATCTTCTGTCAGATACGTCAACCACCAACGACAGATCTTGAGGGTGAGAATTCGAAAATACCATGCAATACAGTATTTAATGCAGAATTGAAAACACTACAATCGATATATACCGGTAAGTGAACACTTTTTCAAAGTTCAATTTAGGGTCCGGGACCTTGGTTTTGGGGAAGCCACGACGTATGATTACGAGGAAAACAGCATCTCTGCTCCCGATTTCGTCGGCCGTCTTTGTTGTTCATGTTCTGTGCGGTAGGAACTGAATGGAATATACCGGGAAAATAACTCTGCATGAAGGGTTCGGTTTGCAAGACATCAAACTACTCTGCACATACCGGTATATATGTGGACATCCGACATCCATATTATTTTATACGTGGTTCGAAAACGCTGCGGATTTTATACATACCGCGGCATTGAACACTAATATTGTACTCATCAAAACAGCTTGGATTCAGGCTTACTTTCTATATTTTATTATTTAGACCTGAACAGTCACGCGCGGTATTTGATAAAGTTCAATTTGATTGTCTTCGTCATTTGGTTTGATGTGATCCATCATTGTTTTTCCGATCTGCCAATGAGCGTCATTATGGCATGATGTACACTATGAGTGAATAGATGATGCGTTGTTCTAATCCGATGGATCTAGTGGTGGTGATGATCTAGGAGTCGCCGGAGACTGCACTTCGCAAGACCACAGGAAATGCCATGAATGATGTCCCTTCCGATGAGATCCAATCATCCAGCCCACCCTCTGCGAACACTTCTCGAAACAGAACCTTTGGATTCAACAAGGATAGCAGAGAACTCTCTTCCGCTTCATCCGTGTTATTGGGTTACGACGGTGACATCAAGAAATTTGGTTGCGACTGTGAATTCAAAACACAAATTGATCAAGACAAATTTTCTTGACGAATAGATGAAAGAAACTGAATAAGCTTTAGTCTAGACCATTGATCACTATTATCTTTTCCCTCTCCTTCTTCCTACTGCTAACATTGAATTAGCAACTGCGAATATCCTCATGCATGTTGTTCATAAACAGGGTAACTGCAGTACGTTTCCCTCTAAAAATCGATGGACTTGTATTTTCACGATGTTTGACTTGTCACAAGCTGGAGAAGACACGCCTAACATTTCCTGATTGGCAGGCTTTCCGATCTTGTTTGAAATAGGCAAGGCTGGCTCCAGATTTGGTGAGATTTGGTGGGAGCTTTATTAGTGTTCAATGCTGCGGTATGTATTATCAGGAGGGCGGTTC